TATATATTGTATATGCATATACATATATATATGTAAGCTGAACTATTCATTAAAAAATACCTTTAAATGCTTGTATATTTGTATCTTTATTGAGGGTAAGTAGGTCATTTCGTATTTTCCGCAATGCCTATCGTAATGTGCGCTCTATGACGTAGGAATTTTTATGTGCTGAAATTTAAATTCTATCTTCAGCCAGAACTCATGACTTGGAAATTTTATTAACTTAAGGTCTAACGAATGTCTATTTAATGTATTTAAATTAATAGTAATAAAATACTGTTATTCATCTAGCACTCATCCAAGCCAAAAAGGTGCTTTGCTGTACAGAGGACTAGAGCAAGCTTCAAAACTGGATATCAAGGATCTCTCAAACTTCGCAAAAACGCTTAGCGCCATATGCAGCTTCGTATTAAATTCAACCGCCAACTGGCACTACAAGACCTTTAAAGCCGCGGTCAATAGGGACAAGTGCAGTTTCCTCCATCTCTCTCTTTGTTAATACTTCCACCTGTAAAATCTAAATATTCCTCATCACTACTCTCTTTGGTGCAGAAGCGTAGACGTTGACATCATCTGGTGAGTAGGCAATAGCAGTTAATGAGAGAAAGGCCTAAAGGAAGATACACACATTGCCCATTTTTACATCGGGTATTCGGAAACGGTTTAACTCCCTTTAACTCCCTCAATTTTTTGGAAATACTTCAATACATATACCAGAAATTGTATAAAGAGCCCGTCGGAAAATTGTTTCAAAACCTCAATTAGTCGTATATAATAGCCTTTGAGCTCTGAAACGCTATTGGAAACAGGTAAAAAATTAGACGTTCACTTTGGTAAAAATATTAAGTTCTTTCTTCACTTTTTGTCTGCCAATAACGACGATCTGCGAAAGGAAGCGTTGAGTGGCGCACGATGTTTGTCTCGCATCTAATCGTGTAAGCGGTGTCCATTAAGGAGAAGAGTAGAAACCGGTAAGCTGTTGTTGAAATTGTTATGCTGTATGAAAGATTGTTGCAACCAAACATAAAAATGTACATATGTATGCATGTAAATGCAAGTTTATGTATTGGTGGGCTAAATTAGGTCACGGTGATTGAGAAATATACATCATCTAAAATTGCATCTGCACTTGCATCTACAAAGGACTGTACCACAACAAATGAGACTGCCCAGAACAAGAAAAACTTGTTCCATCAGCACCTTATGGTGCGATTGATCTAAAAGGCAAGAATCGTTAATGGTAAGTCTCTGAAGGTAATTTTATCAGCGGGGTAGATGCAGGATTCATAAGGGTGGCTGAAGCCACTACCTTAGCGTATTCGTTTCCAGTAATTCCCGAGGGACCCAGCGATAAATACACAACCGTATGGGCACATTAAACAGGTTTTTATAGGTGCTGTGTCATTATGATGTCCGGTGTGGGTATTTTTTTTTGCAGCCCTTAGTATAGAAGAAATTTCATTTAATTTCTTTGTATTTTATTGTGGCTTTTTCGAAAAATTCTTTGAAGGCTATAATGTCAGTTGTACTTTTTGGATATGATTGCAGATTTAAAATAAACGAAGATAACTTGAGCATCCATGGAGGATTGAAGATGCGTTTTTGGCTAGAAAAACGTTGTTATTCTTTTCAAAATTGTTTTAACAAAAATTTTATTTCTTCTATTTTTGTAGGATTTTTTTTTTCAAAAGTATACTTGCAAAATAACTTATTTGAAAGGGGATCATAGTTGTAGGAAAAAAATGTTTCTGATTTTAAAAAATTTCTTCTCAAAAAATATGTAAAAGTTTAGAAGATATTTTCATTTTTTCACGTAAATCATATTTAGTATTTTAGCATCCTACACTCCCTTTGAATTCTGTTTTCGTTAAAAACTGACAAATTTATTTCCAATGGCTTACCAGAAAAATTATATAAAATTAGCGGTTAAATACAAATGCCAATTTTCAAAAAAAAAAAAAAAGTTTGGATCTAAGAAAAGCTAGTTTTACCATAATAAAGCATCGCATATAGTACATAAATATTATATTTAACCTTTCTTAGTTTCCATATTACCCGCTCTTTCACTTTCGTGATGCTTCATCATTCCATGACGTCATAGCGAGAGTATGCATTACTTTAGTTTTAACTTTATTTACCGGCAGTGTTTGTTACCGCAATATATACAAGTATGTATACAAGTACATATGTATATGGTATATGGTAAATAAATTTTGTGAATGATTTCACATACAGACAAACAAAGAAAGGGTGGTGCATTTTAAAAAAGTCTTTGAGTAAGTATATACATAAGTACATATACATATATATATATACATATGTAAATCGATTTTGAGTTGCTACAATACCGGCACCATGGTAACAGCCGAAGCGTTTCAAAAATATCTGAATGACACTATTTAGTTTTAATGATGCAGTGAATTCGGCCTTCGCCATGAGGTCAAGCGGGCTGCTGTATATACATACATGATATGTGTATATCGTTGTGTGCTTGCGGTTGACGTCAGTTATATTAATAGTTTTTTTTTCCACACTTACATCCTTTATTGATTTGAATGGGATAGAACCAAATGGTGCTCATAAAGATTGGCAATACAAACATGCATACAATTGCGGTATGGCAGTGCGTATGAGTGACATTTTACAAGAGAAGAGTGTCTTATATAGCGGATTAAATATTGTGAATTATTATACAAAAGGGACTGTTAAAACGTTTGATTATATAAACGACACAAAGCACAAATTTCAGTTTTCTAAAAGAATACCGACCCTAAGAAGGATTTTTTATTATTGGTTTTAGAAAGAGTTTTAGGTGTTTCAAGATAAATAAATTCAATATATCTGTAAACTGGATCATTAAAGGCTCAAAAATCTATTATTTGTAAGATGGTTATTCTTAATACATCATAATGGGACAAATGAAAACATACTACTCAGTACAGCCATTTAATCGAGTATAGGCTAATAATATATATATGTATATAATGCCGTCTTAGGGGTTATGTAATTGCTCACAACACGCCGCAGACTTATAAATATATATCTGAGTATAATATATTAACTTCAGCCGTATTATGCTAATTTGGCGCAGTGAACATATTTATAAATCAATCCAATTTCTTCAATCATTCACTTACTTACTATATGCTAAGATATTAAGTCAAGTAAAAAGTTCGTTCGGTTATTTTTTATTGATTTTTCAAAATATCATAACTTTGTGTACATGGACAGGAAAAGATGGTAGTCACTTGGTGCCAGGTCCGGACTATAAGGTGTGTGCATTAGAACCTCCCATCCGAGCTCTTGTAGCTTCTGACGCGTCACCAAAGACGTGTGTGGCCTGGCGTTGTCCTGATGGTACATAATTCGGCCTCTGTTGATTAAAGATGACCTCTTCTGGATGAGTGCTGCCTTCAAGCGGTCCAGTTGTTGGTAGTAGAGGAGCGAATTAAGCATTTGACCATAGGGGAGCAGCTCGTAGTAGATGCTTCCTTGCCAATCCCACCAAACTAACAGCAAAACTTGGTGCATCTTTGACATCGAGATTACCGGAACGGAACTTAGCAAACCACTTTTGTGCTACACATTCGTTTACAGTATCGGGCCCATAAAATAAATTAATTTTTTCAGCCGCTTTGGCTGCTTTTTCGCCTTGATCGAAGAAAAATTGTAAAATTTGGCGAATTTTCTCTTTACTGGTGTACATTTTTGAAGAGCGCTCACAGCGTACTGAGTCAACCAATCGAAAACAAGCTTTTAGCGCGAATAAACACGTTTTCAGCGCCGTACATTATGACATGATGCGACACTTTTAACTTGACCTAACCTAACCAAACCTAACCTAACCTAACCTGAAAAACCATAAAACAAATTCAATTTGAACACTACTGGTTTACTTCTAAGAAACGAAACTATGTACCTATATAAAATAATTAAAAAGTGTCTGCGTTTTAAGAACATTTTTCAACATTTTTTTAGAGAAAATTCATATCAGTCAACTGCAATGAATTTGTTTTCTCATGTTTTGCGGGGCTACGAAATTTTATTCGTGTAGAGGTTCTGTAGTTTAGCGACGAAGAACTTGTCCAAATGATTTTCATCAAAGGCACCTATTAATTAATTCTGGAGGCATTTTATTTGAAGAGAGGGTCAACTGCCTTTGCTCATACATTCTTCGTTTTATACTCTTGTACTTAACTCAGTTTTCATTACCCGTAAGTCACTACAGAAATGGTGTGATTTTTGTAATATTTTACTGTTGGTGATCTATTTTTTTTTTTCCTTTTTAAAATCATCCTAAACTGTCGCATGAGTGATGCCCAGTGCCTTCGCAATGCACTGACGGCTTGAGTGACTAGCCGACCAAAATGGAGCGCATCTTTCATATCAAAACTTTCCGAACAAAATCGAAGAAGCCACTCCTGCGCTCATTTACAACATTCTTACACATTTCTTTCTTTTCTTTTGTGGTAAAAAGAATTACATGAAAAATCACAAATCGCTTACATATTTTCAAATCAGAATAAATTTTCACTCAAATGAAAATTTACAGAAATGTTTTACGAACGACCTTTTAATTAATTAATTACTCAATATTTATGTAAAAAAATATATATATTTGTACATATATTTTTACATATGTATATTAATGAATTATTTTGTGTACCTTTTTTTTGTCTCTAGCATCCGACATTTGGCAGGGCGCATGAGAGAGGGAAGAATGTTGAAGCAATGAAATTTTTAAGAGCTCATTGTGGGAATTTCAGCTCTGTCTATTGTCTGGTCCCATTTAGCATTAGAATGTGGTGCTGGTGGACTACTAATTGACATACTAATAATAGTACATGGTGACTTTCTTCCAAAAGAAGTAAATGAATTTTCTTCAAAGTGAACATTGTGAATATCCTTACAAAGCAGTCAGGCACGCGTAATTTAAATCAATCAAACGTATATTTTTTCATTTATTTTTTTAATTTACTGCCAACTACACTATAAATAAATCTATTTCTTATTGTGTACAAGTATAATTACTGGTGCAAAAATTCCATTTCTCATTGTAAAATTGTCCTTCAGGACATTTCAGGTATTTAATTCGCCACTCTCCGGAAATTTCGAAGCAATATATGTAGCTGTGGAAGTGTAATTGATAATAATTGAAAAGAAGAAAAATATGTTGTTATTGATGAATTAAATGTACCTAGTGCAGTCCGTATCGGAAGGATCCACAAATGAACCCTGAACGCTGATTTCTTCACACAAACTCGCGGAACTACTGGATTTCTCAACTGGAACTCCGTGCACACATACTAACATATATATCATCTAAAATTTTTACATAAGAGATTTAATTTATTATTTAGAAATATATAAATATCATATAAATATATAAAATACGTGTAAAAAACTCACTCCAGAGATGAAGAGAAGGCGCTGAGTCGAATTCATGATTTATAAACAATGTCGTTCGCGAATTTCGGTATAACAACTAAATGCAAAAATTTTACGCAATTATATTTATGCAAAAATTTATGTTTATTGTTTGTATATAAGACTGTAGATATATAAATTATATGAAATTATCAGTCTATATGTATGTTTTATAGCTTAAGATTATTGAGTAACCAAAATCACGTAATAATTCTAAGTAATATGACACATATATATGTACATATATGTATGTGCTTGAATCGAGTATACAAAAACAGATGGCTCATAATTTAAATACGCTAATTAATATACATATGTATATATGTATATGTACATACAAATGTATATATGTATAAGTACATACAAATGAATATGCACATGCTAAGTACTCAAATCTTAACAGCGACAATGAAGAATTATCTGTTCTTATCAGTGTCGAATTTCATTTTATCTCTGCTCTTTTATTCAAATTAGCGCCACACAAAAGAGTAAGATAGTCCAAAAACAAAATATACGTACATTGGGGTAGTCTAATTTAATTATTATACATTTTTTTAGTCTCTCCATCTTCTACATAATAAGAAAGCTCCCAATGAGAAGAGATTGTGTGGGAGAGGATTGGATTTAAAAAAAACATATGCAGCTAAGAAAGAGAAAGAAGAAAAAAATGTTAGGCTTGGCCATGCTAAGCCGTTGAAGCGATTTTCGGTCGAGTTTCTCCTGAAATTTGGCGTCTGCTGCGATTTGGCGTCTTGATGTTTTTTCCAACAAATGTAGGTCCCTACAGTTTATCGTAAGCCTCTGAACGGCTTAAGGGTTTTTATGAGGAGCCTTTATTTCATGTCAGAAATGCGCTCTTAGGGGTTTAATTTAGTTTAATTTTTGATTTAAATTAATTTTCTATAAATTTTGAATGAGAAATATATATTTGTCTGTACTTTAGGCCTTAGATATTATAACCAGGGTTACCGTCCTGAAAAGCCAGCACATTGGACGAAGTCCATTGCCTTCAAAAGTATTAAATTATATAATGTTTTAATAAAATACCATCATTTCCTACTCATCTTGTTAAAATTTATTTTAAAGTTTCTGTGGGATTAATTTCAATCTATGCTCAATCCAATACAAGAAAAAATTATTGTGAAGATCGGACCACGCAGTATCAGTATATGCGTTGAAAAAATGAATAATTTTTTCCAAATCCGTGGAATGAAAACTACAAAGTATTCTCTACTCAAACAAAAATCGAAGTCGAACTGCATTGTAACGGATTATGCGGAATCAAACTGTGAAATCAGTGAATTATTCCTTCTTTGCTAAGTTTCTAGAAAATAGACTTAGAAATAAAAGGGGAGAGGGGAGCGTGCTAAGCGGTAAATCCGGCCGAACAAGTACTTTAATCGGTTTTTTACAATTGTTCCGGCCAATGTCATACAGAATAAGAAACCGTTTCGATTTTTGAATTCAGTTGATTGCTTTTACAGTTATTGTGTCACTCACCAACAAAAGGGACATGCTTAAGCAATAATTTTGAGAGCCGCCATTTAAGAAACAAATTTTTTTTTATTTAATAATTTTATGCGTCTACTTATCTAAAAAACTTTGGTTTAAGAAAATTTTTTTGTTGTTAATAAATAAAATTTGTTTGAAAAGGAAAAAAACACATTACTTGTTACTTGGAGGAACCTGACTTCAGCTATACTTTTTCTTTAAAATTAAAAATGGAAAACGTCGTAAACATAAATAAAAAAATAATAACATACGTAATGAACCTTCTTACTTTTTTCCTTTTGTGAAGATTCTTTTTCAATGGTTAATAAAAAATAACTTACGACCCTTCTATTTATAACAACTCTGATGTATATTTGGGTTAAGTACGCAGAATGCAGGTACTTAAGGACCATTCAAGTGACAATTAAAATGACAAACATGCGTTCATCTACATATGTACATGAATATATACTTATATATATATATGTTTTTTATATATGTAGACATGTACATACGAAGATTATATTTCAAGGATTTATGCACAAATGAAGAATACTACGTTTTTTGTACACAAAACAGTCTTTTCACACCAATTTTGGGTCAAGTATTATCTCTTCTGTGCCAGTGAGCCGTAACTGAGTGCACCTGCATGTTGTATACCAATGGCGGTTAGGCCGCATGAGGGGCATGACTGTAAAGACACACAATTGTGTGAGTCATACTTACATTGCTTTCGTTAAATTTTTTATAATAATATTTTTTTTCTTTTCTTCTCATCTTGGAACAGTTTAAAAGCATTAATGACCTTTAAACTCATTTGTCCTAACGACCTTCAAGCGAGTGTATTTGTAGCTCAAGTAAGTACTTCTGCAGGTAATTACTTGTAAAGTGTCGAAATTTCATCTTTAAGTTTAGTTTTACGTAAACAGAGGTCAAATATTTAAGAGCCACACTCAATAAAGAGTGGATAAGACTAAGAAGTGAAGTATTCTAGCTGTTTCGAATGCACACGCCGACACCTGTGTTTATTAGTAGCGAATTTTTGTTCTTGTAAATAAGAATCTTGACCTCAATTTTTATAGTAATTTAGCAGCAATATGAATTTCTCTAAATTATTTATTATTTTATTATGAACATCATCTTTATACCAGTGGATGCAGGATGTACATATGTATGTATGTGTGTGTCTATACGGTCTTTAGTCTCCTAAACCACTCAGCCGATGTCGAATTTCCAGAATATAGTGTTATTGTAAAACTACTTTGAATAGTAGCTTCTAATTTTGAAAATATTGTAGCGAGTTTACCAACATACACCTCGATGATTTTCTTAGTCTTGCGAGTTAGACCACAGGATTATTAAATATAAGTCCCAAGATTTGTTTTACAATTTCTTGCTTATACATAATTTCAGTCGAGCTCCTCCTCCAAATTGCGATTGTTGTTGTTGTAACAGCAAAAATATTTCTCAAAGTAATTTTTGGGGAATGTTGCGGGGGTGACAGTCCTTGGCCGGATAAAATATCGAGGTTGTTCTGGTATGAAGACCCGACTGTTGCGGGAACTATTGGATTTTAGTCGCTTCTTACGACAGGCATGCTTTACCGCAAGTAAATTCTTGAACCCCTAACCCGCCTGGGGTTTTGTGGTTTTGCGTCTTGATGTTTTTCCTAACAAATGCAAGGATATACAGTTTGTACTAAGCCACCTACGAACGGCGGATGGTATTTATGAGAAGCTAGTGATTTTTATGTCAGAGGGATTGACATTCTCTGCTGAGGGGCGACCGCAAAGTTTAACTTAATTTTTTTATTTAAATTAGTTTTCTATAACTTTTTGGATGTTAGAGGAACGCAAGGATTTGAACCCGAGCCTTCCTTTATTACTCAAAAAAATAACAATTCGGTTTAGTATACGTCAACTGATTTTACAATTTTCCCACTCTACTATTTTCATATAGTTTATTCTCTTATAAACACACAGTCTACTTCCGCTGCACCGCTGTTGTTAATACTGAGTTCCAAACTCAACTGAACCTATCACCTCTTATATAGCTACATATTGATCGCACGTGGCTTCTTAAAGATACTATTTGAATGTTCGACAGCGAATCGTTTTATCTAGACGCACTTTTATCAGCTTCTCTTTTCGGACACCTGACATCTTCTTGCTGCTATAGTAAGCAACAAGACCTCACTTTCTTCATTACGTTGACCTTCATTCCCTCACCAAGGAGCAAGTCCACACCGACTATAATTTCATCAGTAATATTCGCTAATATGAACTTAGGTAACCCAGTCATATTCTCGATTAACACTTCACCCGTTATCTCTCTTGCAACCTTGGGGTTCTAACCAGTTACCATCCTCAGTCTTGCTACCGTCAATGGCTTTACTTTAACGGTGATCAAGTTAGATCGAGTTTTGGAGTTTATAGTGAATATTCTAGCCAAGGGTCCACGAATAATAACATTGCAAGCTTTCTTACCAAACTGCGGGTCGGAAATTAAGAGCGGTCCAGCTCTCTGCGGGTATTGCCCACCTTCAACAAACTGATTCGACCTTATCGGTGTGGCCTTAGACCTGAATATCCATCATTGATTTGATATTCACCATGATGCGCCACTCCTTGGTATGGACTCTTCAAAAGAGGATTCTTTATAAGACCTTTGAAAGCATGAAAGGAGGGGCTACCTCTACGCCTTTATGTCTAAATATTAAATTTAAACACCAAATGCTCCGTAAGGATCGGGGCGGACCACTACGAGTCGTTCGATGCTAAACGAGGTTTCAGACAAGTTGATGCCTTGTCATGTGACTTCTTTAATATACTGTTGGGGGAAAAAAACAAGAGCTGCAGAGCTGAATAGAGATGGTACAATCGTCTATAAGAGTGTATAGCAGTTGGCGTACGTCGATGGTATTGTTTTTTGTGGCCCCAACAACCGCGCCAAGAGTTTTGCTTTCTCCAGAGTAAGTAAAGAATAGAAGTAAATGGGTCTGATATAAGAACTGGACAAGACGAAATTTATTCTGTCATCAAACAACCAGTCATAGCATTGACAGTCCGAAATTCATCCATCTTGGAACTAGTATTCACATCAACAACAATGCCAGTCTGGAAATCCAGCGTAGAATCGTTCTGAGTAGGCAATTGAAAAGTATAGTCCGTTTTCGACGAACGAAGACCAAACTCTACAAGTAACTAATCATTTGCGTCCTGCTTTATGGTGCAGGAGTATGGACTATGGCAACATCTGATAAGTCGGCGTTAGGAGTTTTCAAGACAAAGGTTTTGCCTAATGTAATAATAAATATTATATTTAATTTTTGTGATTTGGCAACGTTGATTACCGCAGTACTATGAGCTGTTGGAAGAGGAAGACCTCCAAAAATCTTAAAAAGTTACCAATTGACATATTCGAGACAAGTTTATTTATGGCTCGATTGACTTGAGATTCGGTGGTGGCTTTTTGCTTAGATGAGCAAGAAAACTACTCTCCTCTCCGTGAAGTGGACCGGGAACTGATCTTTCAAAAAGCCGGACTATTCCTCTCTCCGGGAAATGGACTAATGCCAATGGTGAAATCAAAAATGTTCTACTCCCACAAGTATTGAGTAAATAAATTTATGTCAGTGAGATATCCGATGATTAATTGTTCATAGATTCAATGAGTACATGCGACAGCGAAGCGTTGCTGGGTACATCTAGTATACATATATGTTTTCATTTTGAATAACTTTAATCGATATGAGTCATTGCAATTATGCTCGCTGCTTTATAGAATGTAAATTATGACACTAAAAATTATCTTAACATACAATATGATGCTTGCTAGATTTTAGGGGTTAGCAATAAAAAGAAAATAAATGGAAAATTTATCACAGAACATTCTATAGCTCGCATATGTAATTCATGACAGTAGCCGCAAAGATGAAGAATAACACAAAATATTTGTGTATACTCATGAACACATATGTAAATATGTATAAAAAAAAAACACATGTATTGAAAGCGAAATTTGAAAATATAGCTAGCGACATCTTCGCATTCGTGCCAAAAAAAAGATAAACTTTTTTAACAGCCCATAAATTAATTTAGCTTTGGCCACATTTTGTGTACATATTTGAATGTGTAGTAAACTTTTATGTTTACATTTAGCATTGTTCTTGTTGTCACTTCCGGTTGATTTTGGTTTTAATGTGTTTAAAGTTGGATTTCCGAGCTCTGCACACTCAGTTGACATTCGCAGTTGTAGTTAGACAAATGAAACTAAATACTGAATATTTTGTTATTTTTCTTGTTGTAAGTGTGGCAGGAATTGTCCTGTGAGGGTATTTAACTTATGTTATTTTATTTATTCTCCAATTGAATTAGGCACTCACGCTTGGCGGTGTGCGTGGGGAATGTGATCAATGTAATGCTAATAATCCTGTGGCCTGTCACAGTCAAACTGTTTATTCGCTTTGCTATAACGGTGAGTTATGTAGATATGTACAAAAGAAATTTCGCACATTAATAATTATAAAATTTTAGAATAATCAAGTCTTGTGTGCTCCCTCTTCATCCATTTAGGTCAGCCCACCATGGACTTTGTCACTTGCCCCACCGATTATATATGCACTAATGAGCCGTTCGTTTGTCGACCAAAAGCGTTGGCAGCAGCTAGTTGTAATCGGACCAGTACCAGTGCGAATTCGACGTCTCAATGCGGCCTTTGCCTCTCTCAAGGTAAAGTTTTTGCTTGCCTCAATGAGACCACAATTGCATTTTGTTTTGGCGACGATAGTCCACATTATGGATCACTTTCGTATTGTCCCGAGGGCACAGTTTGCGATATAAATAGTGGAAGTAATTTCTGTACTGCAGCGACAAAGACGGCGGTAAGCTGGTGGTTAAAGAAATTATGTAAACAACCAACAAAAATTTTTTTTTTTTGCTGTAGCCAAGTTGCAGAGAGAGTGATTGGGGAACAACAACAGTAGGACCAGGAACATCAACAACTACAGCTATATCCACAACAACAACAGCTTCCACTACAACTACTACTACATTCACACCAACAACAACTCCGACAACAGCTACAACTACTACTACTACTACATCCCCATCTACAACAACAACATTTCCGACTACCACTACAACTACATCCACAACAACAACAACTGTACCGACTACAACCACAACCATACCCACAACAACAACCACAACCACACCCACAACAACAACAACACCAGTTCCGACTACCACTTCAACCGCACCCACAACAACAACAACAGTACCGACTACAACCACGACAACAACCACAACCACACCCACAACAACAACAACACCAGTTCCGACTACCACTACAACCACACCCACAACAACAACAACACCAGTTCCGACTACCACTACAACCACACCCACAACAACAACAACAGTACCGACTACAACCACGACAACACCAGTTCCGACTACCACTACAACCACACCCACAACAACAACAACACCAGTTCCGACTACCACTACAACCACACCCACAACAACAACAACAGTACCGACTACAACCACGACAACAACCACAACCATACCCACAACAACTACAACAACAGTTCCGACTACCACTACAACCACACCACCACCAACAACAACAACAACAACAACAGTTCCGACCACCACTACAACTATACCCACAACAACAACAACAGTACCGACTACAACGACAACCACAACCACACCCACAACAACAGTTCCGACTACAACAACTTCGCCATCAACCACCACATCTGCAACTACTACGGAGCATACGTTAACACCAAAGGAAATTTGTGAACAGAGAAACGAAACGGGAAATATTGCACAACCCGAAGATTTTACATGCAAAACGTAATCTGCAATTTCATTCTTTTATTACTTATAATACTATTTTCTCCTAAATTTTAGTTTTTTATATTGCCAATATACGAACGGTGTTTGGAGTGGACAAATATCCACTTGTCCAGCTAATCAATGGTTTGATCCAAATTTACGTATATGTTCAGCAGCATATACATGTCCCACTGCAACAACAATAACGCCAGCAACGACGTCAACAACAACAACAGTTCCGACTACTACTACAACCACACCTACAACAACGACAACAACGACAGAAGCCACAACCACTACGGAAAGTTCACTTACACCCGCAGAATTGTGTGAGAAGAATGGCGAAACCCAAGCAAGAATGGCGCAGCCCGGCGATACTACATGTAAAAAGTAAGTACATTAGTGTGTACAAATATTACAAAGCACAAATCATAATTAAATTATATATATGTATGTGCTCTTTTTTTAACTTCAGGTACATATATTGCACGAAACCTTCAACCAAGTGGATTGCTCAGCAAAGAGAATGCCAAAATTATTTTGATCCGGTGGCAAAATCATGTTCGGATACTTGTCCAAGCACATGCGAAACCTGCTCGTAACTTAACATACATACATATGTACTCGTATTGTTTTTAATTTCTTTCAATTTTTGTCTGATTCTCCACATCAACTTTAAAAGGAGAATCCGGGAAACATAAATAATGCAAATAAAAGCTTTGCTTGCTGTTTAATAATTTTGTATTTCATATTATGGACAACTTTAAGCCGAGGCAAGAAAGTACCAGAAGATTGGTTAGGCTCCATATAACATATTCCTCCCTCACGAATAATCTATATTCTATATGTAAGAGGCTTTGTGCCATAAGACTGATGGATCAGTCCACAACTTAAACCACTGGTTAAATCGACCTCAAACTTGAAGGGTGTCTGTGGCTAAGGCTAGGAAAGGATTTTCCGAATAGTTCTTAAACCAATTGATTTTCATGAAATTTCGTAGCTCTTTGTCTACTATTTGCCTCCCATGTCCGCACTTTTGCCTAAACTAACGACGGTAACACTGTTTCTTTCTGGAGGTAGGTCTGGAGTCTCTCTATGCGAACGTGTATTTATTCTTGATTTACTTGAAAGAGCATAGAAAACTTTCAAAGCTGGATTATTCTTTTCATCCGGACGAAATGAACTAGCCAACGCAGCCGCCGTCTCTTGAGTTGCTGAATTAGGTCAGTGTCGCCGTATATCTCGTACAAATTATTATTTCATCGGCTCCCAATGCGGAGAGGGACATAAATCTTTCTCAAAACCTCTCTCTTGGAAACTCCTAAGAAATGACTTGTAGAGTTTGGTTCTTGTTCGTCGAGAGAGGACTTATCTTTTTAATTACCTACTCAGTCCATAGTAGTAGGATCTGTTAGCAGCAGTGGTTTTGTGTTTTATTTCAAGAATTTTTTCTAAGATTTGGCGGACGGTGAATATCAGATAAGATCCAATCAGTTTATTGACTTACTCTTTCACAAAAAACGTTCTATAGCACCTTATATACGATATTGAGGAGGTAATTTACCTTATTTAAATACTAATTTTTTTTTAAAGAAATTAAAATTTATTAAATATTTTCATTGATATATAAGTACGAACTCTCTTAGCAATCAGCTGGCCGTTCCGTTTGGCATTTTCCGGTTGCTGCATTAAAGTAATTGGCACAAGTATACTCCCAACCTAAGAATTGGCCTGACAATCCATAACAATAAATATATCTGAAATAAAAAGTCGTTCAAATAGAATTATTCTAAAACTTCCTTTTCAGGCTTATTAAGCATTACTCAATGAAAAATTACTGAATAAAAGAGGCAGGCAGTACGACCTAATCTATGTGTCATAAGGAGATATGAAAATCATACTTACTTCTTACAGGTTTTATCACCATCTGCTCTAAAATTTCCACTTCGACCGATTTCTGTACAAAATGTATTTGGATCTTTAGGAGCTTGAGTAGTTTGAGTTGTTGTATCAGTTGTTGCAGGAGTTGTTGAAGGAGTAGTTGTAACGGTAGTTGTAACGGTAGTTATATCTGTTGTTGTTCCCGTTTTAGTGTCGGTTGTTGATTCAGTAGTGGCAGCTGTTGTTGTTTCGGTTGAACTGGCTGTTGTTAGATCTGTCGTCGTTCCGGTGGTCGTTGTGTGAGTCGAGCTGCTTGACGTTGTTGTATCGCTTGATGTGCTTGTTGTTGTATCTGTTGTTGAATCGGTAGTGCTATCTGTGGTTATATCTGATGAAGAGCCAGTTGTTGTTTCGGTTGTTGTTTCAGTAGTAGCAGTTGTTGTTGTTTCGGTTGAACTGGCCGTTGTTAGATCTGTCGTCGTTTCGATGGTTGTGTCTGTCGTTGTAAGAGTTGAGCTGCTTGCCGTTGTTGTATCGGTTGATGTGCTTGTTGTTGCATCTGTTGTTGTCTCAGTAGTAACAGTTGTTGTTGTATCTAATATACAAGAAGGCTGCAAAAAAATGAAATAAGAATAAAATAAATATCATTTCATTTCCACACTGATTGAAGAATACTCACAGTCGCGCTTTGCGTTGGTGAACAAATATTTGTATTAGTTAAGTCACACACATTACCCAGAGGACAGTAATTCATTGAGCTGGTATCTGGTGTTTCACCGTCATAACAGAGAGCGTAAATGTTCTCATCCAGACAGGCGAAATTCTTTTCTGCTGACAGACACTGGCCACACCTATTCACAAAGCACACCGGAGTGCCACCTTGTGCGGTGGCCACGCAAATATCCTCCTCAGCAGTGCACACGGCACCCGTCGGACAACTTGTACGTATATTGATGGGCGTGCCGCTTATGCAAACTGAAAAGTTTTGTTCGTCCAAACAGGCGACGCCATTTGTAAAACACTCATTGCATCGGGCCGTGGACGTTGTTTGAGAGCTTACATCGCTTATGAAAGCAAGTAGCTGAAATGAGCAACACGAAATTTTTCATCTGGATTAATGAAAACAGACTAATTGTTTAAATATTTTATTTTTGAACTATTTCATACACTGACACCATATTTTCCAAAATTCCTTTAATAATTAATTATTTTACCCACATTGACAAGTAAAAGAACAAAAATCCTTGTATGCACTTTTGACGCGTCGAACATGTTGATTCGAGTCTGCAGAATTCGCATGCTTTCGAGCGCGCTTTAGCTTCCTATCTGTTGGGGAATCGGTCTTTGATGTGCACAATTCGTAGCAAAAAAAAAAAAAAAATTTAAATATTTTTATGTTTTTGTTTTGTTTGATGACTTTTGCGATAGTGTGTAAATATTTGATCAACATAAATATGTATGTAAGTACGCATTTTGACAAAACCATATTCACAAGTAATAAAGATAAGCTCTTATTTAGATATTTTAAGAACTCTGCATACCTAATTTTTGTAGGTAAAACAAATTTACTCTACATACATAAATAAACATAAATATATGTACATATCAGGCTCAATGTTTACTTTGGCGAAGCAGAGAAAGGCACAATTTCAAAATAGTTTTTCGATTCAATCGCAAAAAGAGTCGTTATGATGGCGTGTGAAAATAAATACATAGTCAAAGCCAAGGTGGTGAATTAATAAAAAATAAAAAATAAAGTTAGTAAAGATTTGAGAAGCTTAAAATTTTTTTGCTCAACTTTGATGCCGAATATATAGCAGTAATATCAAAGTGAGTTTGCCTGATACATAAAAAAAAATTGAAAAGATTTTTAAACGATATTTAAAATAGATATCTTATGCAGTATTAAGTTATGCGGATATTCACCGTCAGGCGAATTTGGCCGTCGAAGAAAGATGCCTGCTTAAGGATGTGGGTAGCTATTTTGGACTTAAAATAATTAAAAAGTTTTTATGGTCACAATTTTATCATTTGAGTAAAAAACCATTAAATTATGTTTATGTACAGGGTTTTCCAATAGGTGGTGTTATTTTGATATTCAAAAAAAATTACAGATTCTTAGATAAATGTGCGGATATATATTTCAATATAAAGAAGAAGATATATTATTAATAACGGAAAACAATATTAGCCAAATGGCTGCCACGGCTACGCTTACAGGACCGTATCCATCACCTAATGGCATGTATGCCCTAAAAAGCGAATTCACGAAGTCCATCTTTGAGGTCTTGAGTCGGCGTTGGCCTGTTGGCGTAGATCTTATCTATCCGATGGTCCTAACGAAAGAAGTCACAAGGTGTTAAATCACAAGATCTCGGTAGCAATTGCGATCACCTTTTCGAGAGATCACACGGTCATGAAACTTTGCCCGCAAAAGATCGATGGTTTCGTTGCTTGTGTGGCACGTAACATCGAGTTGTGGAAAGTATATGTTGCCCAGACGAATTACTTTTAATTCCAGCCATCATTAATCATCTTTCGATAGCGCAGACCATTCACCGTAACTGTTGCTCCAGCCTCAACAACCGCATCAAACAGTTACACGTTAATGATGGAGATGTTACAGTTTTGCTTATTGACGTTGTCATCGAAGGGAAAATGAGCCGCATTAGACAAGATGGTTTATCGATGAACTTCCGGATCATTTTTATGCACTTCAAGGACCCAATCAGCAATGACACTACCGTTTGATGATCGTCCGGCTTGAGTTCTTGCGTTAACTGAACTTAATATGCACTAAGACCGAAGTCTTTAAGTAAAATACGGTGTAATGACGTTTGTGGAATGCCCAATTACAAAGAACAACGATGTCAAGGATGACATCCATCGAAATACAAGGCTGGTTCAAATAACACCGGTTATTGGAAAACCCTTTATAACCTAAGGATCTTTAAAAAAACTTAGATCAAATTCCAAATGGTATTCCAAAATCAAATTTATTGGCATAAATTATTAAATAAAAATTGAAAATAAATAATTAACAAGTATTATTGTTCGATTTTTCACCATAAATATTTTGAACTACAACTTTTTGAAATCGTCACCGGTAGTTCAATTCTCTTCACATGTATTATCCTGCATATTTAAATTTATAGATCTCGAACTCTGGTCCTCTGAATGGTATAACATACGGCCATGGCTAAATAAACCGTTGGGTATGAATTTTGGTGTATTTTTTATTCTCTTGTTACTTACATACTTAATATACCATTTGAAACGTATAGATAAAGGGGAAATCTATTTATATATTAAGTTTAAATTTGCTTTCGCAGTAATTTTACGATGTTTATTTGTTACCATTTTAAGTGGGTTATTTTTCTTTCAAAGACTTTTAACCTCTTAACCTATTTTTGCTTACCATAAAACTTTCAAGTGTAATAAAATCTATTGAATTACATAACACCGTTAGTGAAATAGACTAAAAAAGCAACACTCGTCATAAAAATAGGTTTACTCGTATACGTTCATACATTGCACAAAAAGCAGTCACTGGTAATTTATTACATGTACACATTAAAGGCACATTGTTAAGATTCACTTTATCTATTTTCATAATAAACTTACACATATATCATAACGACATAAATAACGAGCCGAAATCATCATTTGGACAAACGGAATTTGGCGGACATTCTATTATTGGTCCACCAGAGCCAAATGAATAAAGTTGTAACAAAAGAGGTAAACTCGAAATAAGATAATTTTAGAAAATATGTAAGCATAACTTAATTCTTGGTTTCATCATAATACATACCCAGGGTAATGAAAAAGTGGATATTATTTGGAATGTAAGATAAATTCTTGCTTGTTATGGAAATTTCTGGGAATATTCCTTAGCCTTTTTCTGCTTTGAGATTCAAGTAGCACAGCACTGCCACTAGCATGAAAGATGTTTCTATAGAAACCAATGATTTGTTCGAAATTTAGATACCACTTTCGCTACGGTAGCAGCTTAGAAGTGACCCACACATACAAAGAAGCAGTTAAATCAATAATTTATTGTAATAAAAACTTACTAATGATTTAGATGATGTTTAATTAGGGATTTAGATCATGCTTACTTGGGGTTTTTTTTTATCATTATACAGTATCGATTGAAATGAAAATTGGACAAAATACAGTAGGCCACAGCAATGTTTGGCCATTTCTGGTAGTATCAATAAAAATTTAATTTTTTTCTTTTTGGTGCTTATAATCATGGGAATAACATAGTTGTATGCATACGAAAGGCACTAAAAAAATAATTCACAACAAGGTTTCGTTTAATTTTCACTGGAATTTAGTTTGCCTTGAGTTTGTTATTATATATACATACAATATATGTATATACCAGGGGCTTAAAAAACTTTCGGTCAGTTGGTGAATTTAAATTTGTTTTTGTTAAATCTAAAATCTTCCTTTAAAATTTTAGAACAATCGGCTAAAATAAAGACGAGAGAAAGGCAAGATAGAGAAGAGAAAATGCCTCTACCAACCCAAACAGAAGTTCAGCATGTGATTCTCTTCGGGTTTCGACGTAATTTGCAGCCAATAAAAATATTCAGTGAATGATAAATTGCATATGGAATGATTGCACCGTCTTTGAGTATTATTTTTAAGTGGTTCCAAAAATTCCAGAGAGGCCGGGCCCCGAGAAGTTGGACCAAAATAATCCACTGCTGACGCCACTGTAGCTCTGGTGCAGTCCAAAACTGACGAAGACCACTATTGACAGAAATTCTTTCCAATGAATTCGGCTTTAATGCCATTTCGGTTTCACAAATACCAAATAATCATCTAGGGTACACGAGGAAATCTGCCCGTTGGGCGCCACGAATTTAATTTGAAGCCCAAAAAGAGGCTCGAGTACATTTTGATCAATTTTTTCTAGACGAATTTGAAAACCGTCTCGCTACTGGTGATGATTTTCGGTTCTATATGTACGATCCAGAAACCAAACAGTAGTTCATGGTATGGAGCCCAACAGGAGCAAACCCACCCGTAAAATCTAAGTAACCAAAATCAGCAGCAACAGTAATGATGTCAGTTTTCTTCACCCGATCTAAAATCGTTGCTGCTGTTCCAATGAAAAATGTCAGGCGGTAGCAGCAACATGGTAAGTCTAAAGGTGTTTACCTAATAATTTCTAGAATTTGTTGGAAAACAGGAAGAAATGGGATTTGAGGCGCTACTTTTTACATCATATCAACGAGCTGAAATAACGAGTAATTTTATTGCGTTCTCTGGGATCGAAAAACTACGTACTGCAGCTATTCCCCGCATATAGCACCTTGTGATTTCTGGTTATTTCCAAAAATTAAAAGGAAAGGTCTTTAAAGCAACGAGTAGATAATTAATGCGGTTAACGCTGACCTTGATGATCTTAAAAAGCATGATTTTGACGACCGTTTTCAAAAGTGGATCTACAGGTTTAAGAAATTCATTGAAGATAAAAAATGACAAAGATTACTAATGAATACATGGTGAGCTTATTGAACTTTTGTTAATCCCCTCGTATATATAAAATATAAAAATTCACTCCGAGGGCTTGTCATTCCGAGGGGCGGTCGGAATTAAAAAATTTATTTTTGGATTTTGGACGAAGCAGGATTCAAACCCCAGCTTTCCAAATGGCAGCACGCCATGCTAACCACTCGGCTATTGCCGTCTACATTTTATTAGATTTAATATAGCAAAAATTCCAATTAAAGTTGTCATTTTTCAGTGTTATTGAAGGGGCATGGTAATATTTGTGTCCACCTATCTATATATGTTAGTGTGTACGAGTAATATAAGAAAAATGAATTGCCAATTTTAGAATTAATGTCAATTTGTCTGTTAGTTCTCGTAACTGTGACGTAGACTGACACACGTACTTAGCAGTTTATGGACAAAAAAAAATTTACCAAAAATCACGTACTCAGTTCTGATATTGCAAATCGATTGCAGTGTTGTGTTGTGTGCGTGTATTAAATACTTAAAATATACAAAAAGTTATATCCAGACAAATTTGTATATTTCCACATATCTATGTATATGACATATCGATATATTCACATCTTTCCAAACATGATTTATAATATTGAAAAAGTGGTATTCGCTGTCGCATGAACGATGAGGATATAGAATTTTAGTCTTTGAAGATAATGAAGATTAAAGCTTTAAACCTCACAGATGAGAGTGTAACAACAATGTGATTGTTTTCATATTCAGTCGGCGAGAAATATATATTATATTCTTGTTTCTTCTTATTTATGCTTAGTATTGCATATATTCGTATGTGAGTATATAAATTTGTCCCCTTTCAGCTGTTAGAATATTACCTAATTGAGCTAAATAATTACATTCTACGAGTA